TTATTAATTACCACAGGAGAGAGATGATTTCCTAAATACTGGGGAGGCTGAAAACCCCGCTGAGCCCTCGTAGGATGGTGAGGCAGTGCCATGGAAACTCCGTGTCTGCCACGGAGCCCACGGCCTTGGATCCTTGGCAGCTTCCCTGGTGCTTTTGACATGATACAAATGCCTTGGGAATGCTCAGTTTCCCTCAACCTTTCAACAATTCTATCATAAACCCCATATATTTGTCTCATTAATGACGTGCCAAAATCCTATGGCCCAGATCATCTAGTGCATGTCAATGTGCTTCTTTTCAGAGCAGGATTGACAGGCCAACCTCCAGCCACGGAGGCTAAATTGCCAGAAAATACAAATAAAACTCCTCAGCACAGTGTAGAGCAGAGCCACAATTCCATTTTAATGTAGCAGGTCCAGTGTGCAGCATTTAATGAACATGCCAAGTTCTATTCTGAACAATTTTTCAGAGAGCAACATTTATGTGTCATACTCATCTTACATATTTTTATCATCCTTATTACCTATATTTTTTTTTCTTTTTTTGCCCTGCAGGATAATTCTGGACAGGGATACCCTGTTCATCTCCAGTGTGCTCCTGGAGGATCAGGGGGTTTACAGGTGTGTGGCCAGCACTGCCCTGGACTCTGCTGAGGCTGAGACACAGCTGATCGTTCTGGGTAAGGTTGATTTTCCTTGCAGCAGGAATTGCCACTGCAGCACTTCTTTGCTTCTTTTCACAGAGCCTCAATAACCCAATTTCACAGTCTCTCACTCCTTAAGCTCAGCTGTGCTGTCCCTTATCTCTGGGAATGGTGATGCTGAAACAAACTCGATTTATTTGCATTGTTGGTGTAGTAAGATGAGGCAGCATTTTTGCCTCAGTTCAGTGGCTGCAGGAATTGCCCAGGCTGGAAGGTGTGAGAACATACTAAGAATGTTCCTGCTGCTGCTTTGAAGCCTTTGGCCAGTCCTTCACAAGAATTGGACTGGTTTTTTGAAGGCCTTCAGACCAATATTTGGATGTGCAGCTCCTCAGAAGATCAGTGCGAGTTAAGCACCTAAATGGAATTAATTCTATCTGTGAACCTGAACGTGAAAGATCGTCCAGGGGCAAGGAGCAGAGAAGAGCCTGGACCCCCGTGGGTCTGAAGCTTGGCCTTCTGAGAGCATCCTCACCACCTGCATCCCTCCCTGAAGGACCCCTTGGAATTAAGAGTTGGAATTAACTTGTGGAATTAACTTGTGTCCAAGGGCAGCAGCCAAAATTCTGCTTTGTGGTCACAATTTTGGCCAGCCTGGTCTAAGTGAAAATCTCCCTACCCATGGCAGGGGGCTGGAATTAGATAATTTGTAAGGTTCTTTCCAACACATTTTGTGATTTTATGATTCTCTAACAGCTTTGCATAATTTTAATTACATTTATTTTTGCTTCATTTTACATGTTTTTTTATTGCTGGCAGTGATTGCAGCAAGAAATAAGTCAATCTGCCCTTCAAGATGTTTTTCCACTTTAAAGGAGTAATATTTTTCAGTAAATAGTAAATTAGGAAGATGCTGTGCACATTATTTATGGTGGTGTGTCCTTCAGTGCTGCATAATTCAAAATGTTTGTAGATTATTCGTTACTTCACTTATGAAAATTTCATAAAGCATTTTATTGCTTTTTAAAAAGGTGCTTTGCAGAATAAGAAAAACAGTTTTGTGCTCTTTTCCCTTGTTCATTGCATATGAGAAAGGTCTTGGTGAATTAACTACATCTTATTTTCCAAGTGAAAAATTCAGGATTTTGCAGTCAAGGACTGGTGGGCTGACTGAAGAACTAAATAGAGACATCAGATTGGGGCAACTAAGAGTAAAATAAATATTCTATTAGAATAATTCTAAGTATTTATTTGGTAGAGGAGTGAGAATATTTAAGATGCACCATCACCATCTTGAAATTAATATATTGAATTTTAAACAGCTGTACTCCGAGGATAGAGCAGAAACGTGCCTGCAGATTAAACTGTGTTTTCCTGATATTTTCCAAGATACAAGAGAAATTGGGAAAAAAATAAAAAGAAAATGAAAAATAATCCAAATATAAACACTGCTCTCTTTTATAGAGAACATCGTGATCATTAATTCCATTGGTCTTGGAGAAAAATATTTCACCTGACTGGTACACTGGACTTAGGTCAATGTGGCAGAACATATCTATAAACAATATGAACAGAAAGTAAGATAATTGATTGTTTACATTCCTCTTGGACTTCTTCTCAGTCTTAGCCTGGCAGGAATATTTCTCTTTTATCTCTGACTGAACTGAGAATATCCACATTTCACCACCATCTTGACTGACTGTGCTGTTCCAACACCCTGGAAGATGCCAGGACAAACAGAGATACCTTGCTGTGCTCACGACACTTCTTTATTTCTCAGATGTTCCTGACCCACCAGAAGACCTCCAGCTCTCAGAAAACCAAAACCGGAGCGTTCGACTCTCCTGGAAAGCTGGGGCCAGCCATAACAGCCCTGTTAATGGTAGGAAGAGGTTTCTAGCATAACTTTTTGGGTCTGTTCAGAATTCTGTTACATCCTGGTTGTCACAGGACACAAACCCTGCTGACGGCCAGATTTACTCACTTTTACTATGACAGTTCATTTCCACCCGCGCTGTTCACGCTAAGTTATTTTTAAATTAATTTTTCCGTTGTTTTTTGTCCTTTTTCCTGCCCAGAGTCAATTATAGAGTTTGAAGAGAACCGCTGGGAGCCGGAGAGGTGGCAGGAGCTCAGCAGAGTGCCAGGGAACGTCACCACAGCCCTGCTGTCCCTGGCCCCGTATGTGAATTACCAGTTCCGTGTGGTGTCCGTCAACGCCGTGGGCAGGAGCCAGCCTAGCACACCATCCCTGCGCTATGCGACCCCTCCAGCTGGTAAACCTGGCTCTGGTTTCCTAAATATTAGTATTTTCAGTGCTTTTTTTTTGGAATATCTGTGCCCTCCCATGCTCCAGAGGGTGTAGAGCGTTCAAGGTAGTTTGCGCTGCTCAGTGGCAGCCTCAGGGATTATTAAAAGTAGGTCCTGTGGTGGGAATTACCCCTCAGATGGTTTGGTGGACTGGAATAACTCTCAGTAATTTTGGTGGGGCAGGGGACTATTTAAATGGACTGTATTAACTAAGTCAGAGAGGTAAAATCAGCTGGAGGATATCTCGTGACAAGCCGTATTCTGATATTGTAGATATTAATGAAATGGGAACCCTTCTGGGTTGAATTCTTTAGTGATTGGTAAAAAAGAGCAGCCCAGCAGTTGCACATCAAATGTCCAAGCATTGTTTTGAGCATTTGATGTGCAGTTAGAACAAATCTAAATTTTAATGACCCAGCTTGCTGCTCTGCATAAAATTCCCAAGGATGCCAAAGGGAGGGGGCCACGCTGCTGAGTTTTCCTACACTTCCAGCACCTCATGCTGTTGATTTTCCACCCTTTGCAGACCTTCATGGACAAACAGCTCCTGCTGAAGGCCTGGGTTTACAAAGAACCTTTCAGGAGCACTAATCTTGTCAAAAATCTCCATTTACAGAGCATTCACTGGGGCAGAAAATGTTGTCTCCCTGAAAGTCATTTTAGAGGCCAACTGTTCAGCACGGCATTTGCATTCCTTGGCATTTTCTCTCTTTTTTTCCCCATTTGAACCAATTTCAGGTCCCTCTTCAGCTTTCCAGCTGTGTGTGCACCTCTAATGATGCACCTTCTGTTTGCTATCCCCACAGGGAGAAAAATCTCTTCCTCATAATCCCCCCACATCTGGTGCTTTCAAATCTAAAAGTCACAGCTCCATGTTAGCTGATGGCTCCAACCAACAGGGGCACTTAGGAATCCAAACTTCATAAATGATATGCTTGGGTCCCATCAGCTTGGCTGATCCAAGTCATTCATCTCATGAACGTTTTTTGTCTAAGAGT